TTATTATTCTGTTCAACACTTTACAATAAGGCTCCCTTTGATTACTGTGGATATGTATAATGCGGTAATACAGTACAATATTATAAGTAAAATATGTGTTTTCAATAAATTATTGTGCTTACAAGGTAGTAAACTAGTCTAAAACGTTTAATAAGCACCTTTAGATGTGATAAATACATGAACACATTTGGCGCACTATTTGGCAAGAAATCAGACAGTTTTGTCTCTTTACCATCCTTAATTAATGAATAATAAACACTTATTAACGATTTATAAAGTGTTTACAGATGAATTAATAACCTATAAACTATTTATAAGCCATATATAAGGGGAGCCTTATTGTAAAGCGGTACCAAAATAAAAGTTGATTTCTATTCAGAAGGAGTCTGATGGTTATGAGCAGCTGGAAATATTAGGTTGCATTAGATTTATTATGTTCCTCGTCTCATTTCTACAGCTGAGCACAAGAGCAAACAAAAACTGAGCTCTACATGGTATTTTGTGTATGTAAACAGCGTTTTGACACATCCTCTTATCAACACTGARAAGTACTATGGGTGCGCAGGGACACAGAGTAGGCAGTACAGGCAGATGGTAAGGGTGCCATCTATCTTGGGGGCGCCACAAGTGGAGGACAAAAAGTATTTTACAAGTTTCCATCAGCATATAGTTGATTTAGTCTGTAGAATAATCACTGTTCCTYGGGTTTCTGAAGGTAACTTGTGGGTTTCTCAGCCTGCTTTGTTACTACTTAAGCTGGTTTCTAAAGATAAAAAATAATATCAAAAACAAAACTATTTAATTTAGTAGTGAATGTATGTAAATTGGTAGTGAGATTTGGAAAATTGCACAAAGGGCACCACCTGAACTCTTGCTTAGGGTGCTAACTTTTCTATAAATGTGAAATAAATAAGACAAATAATATTAAAAGTAAAAGCAAAATCATTTTACTCTTGTTTTGAGTTGTGGTGCGCAGCTATATTCTAGACTTCTGAGTCGGATTTGCTCCCACTTTCCATCAGAGAATTTCCACTGGAGGTGTGTTCCTGTTTAAATTTATGACTTGTAAGTGGGAAAAGCCCACTTCCCAGTACAACTGGGCCCAGAAAAAGTAGATGATGAAAATGCAGCTAAATAGAGAATTTGCACAGCGAATTTTGCTGGCTACTTTTGAACCCTGTGCACCTCCACCTAGTGGTAGTATGATGTCATTTTGCAGGTAAAATAATTAACATGTATTAATAATGGGAGATGCTGGCTATGAAGCAGCTTATTTTAAAACATTAATAAATCTTTGAAGCTCTTGTATGCCATATAAAATGCAGTGGCAGGCCATATTTGGCCCACAGGCCTTGAGTTTGACACGTTATAGGCTGTTTCTGACAGATGTAAACTCCTGTTTTTGAGGGAAACATGACAAAAACACGATAAATATTTTAAATCTCATGCTGAAATCATTTAAAGTTTCTAACTGGACTCTCTCCATGCTCTCCTCCCTCACAGCTCTTAGACTTGAACTCAGCCGAGTCAGCACGACATAATCTTCGAGACCTGACCCCACCTTTTTTTTCTACGCGTTGCCCCTGCTGCTGTAGCTGCTGAGGCCCTGAGGAGGAGGAGGAGAAGTCAGGAACTGAGGCCCAAACTGTGACATCTACTCATCGTGTGGAGCTGTGGTGTTGAAGCAACGCAGCAACGTTAATAACACCTCAGATGTGTCTGTGTACCATTTGGTTTGTTCATTTCAAACAGAAACACGGGAAATGGGCCACACCCTCACTCTGATTAYACAGTTCTGTTAACGTTTTTGTCCGTCTGTTCGCCCAGGTCTCCCTTCTGTCTTTGGCCCAAAGGAAAATGATTAAATTCTTAAATTACATTGTTTTTGTTAAGTTTGATTTTCATATAACTATCATTTTTATTATCATTACTATCATACTTCTGATCGTTAATGTAATGTAATGTAGTCGTGTGTTTAATGGTATTATTGAGGA